GGAGCGGTGGCTCTGTGGCTAAGGATCTGCGCCTGTGGCTGGAAGGTTGCCGGTTTGTATCTCGCGGCAGGCAGAGGAATCCTACTCCGTTGTGCCCCTGAGCAAAGCCCTTAACCCCAACAACTGCTCCAGGGGCGCCACATAAATGGCTGACCCTGCACTCTGACCGCAAGCTTCTCTCTGTCTGTGTGTCTCATGAAGAGCAAGTTGGGGTATGCGAAAAAAAATTCCTAAAATCTGAAATTGTATATGGCCAATAAAGCTATCTTAGATATCCACTTATTTTCTTTTTTTCACATTCATAACTTACACAGGGAGATATACATTTAGAAGAACAACAACAGAAAAGACAATTGCATACATCAAGGAACAGTGTAAATTTTGTTTAATTTTATTTAATACCCCCACAGCAGAAGACATTGAAAACCTTTGTTCAGAGTAAACAGTACATTACCGATGCCCTCCAGGCTTACTGTTGGGAAAACACCACAACAGAGAACTGAGATTCCGTCTCGGAATGTACCACTCATTATAGCTCAGAATTTAAAATTGCTTTACTCCAAAAGTGCGTTTTCTTTCACACACCGTGCAAACTGCCAGATTAAAGAAGCGTGGAACCTGGAAGTCACAATGCATCTTCCCGAACTTCATAAAGTCCTTTGATGTGTATAGGGGAGGAGGGAGGTTTATTAAGGAAGGACAATTAGTTTTTCGCTAGATAGGATTGGAGAGCAATTTTGTCAAATACCTGGAGAGCTCTGAGTCACACTATTGTGGAACTAAAACTTGCTTGTGGTTGCTCATCCCCATTTTGCAATACCTTACTTGACCGATGTTTCCATTTTGACACTAAGGTGCATCATCAATAGTTCTGTCTCTGGCCAGATGTGAAGCATCTACTCATCCCCTTTAAATCCACAGATGCCAATAACTTCCTTCCTCTGGAGCCCAAACAATTTTTTGACTAAGACTTGACTAACCCGCAAACTAATGATGACGTGATGAAGTTACCAGAAGAGAAAAGAACTCAGCTTGCATTTTCAAAGGAATCAAAATGAACGTTCAGATTAATGCAACCTAAACTATACAAAACTTCACTCAAGCAGGTCCTTTATTTGAACAGGTAAGATAATCTAGATCACACTCTCCTTTGCAATAACTTCCAAAGAATTCTCTTTTGTCCAGGTCAAAAGCTTTTGCGGCTCTTCGGTTGTCTGCAAAATCTGAAACGGGAATGATGGGGAACTTTTGCTTTCCAGGTGATAATGATATGAATCCTAAAGAAAACACGGACATGTAGAAAGGGAAGTAAGATGAATTTTTGTGAACACCAAGTCTTAAAACTACTGTGATGGTCAAAAGCCTCTCATGTAACTAACCTACTGTAACTAAAGAATCATTCAATGTATTCACACTCTTTTCAAGAATCAGCAAACTCCTGCCTTGAATGAGTCAATTTCTTTTTTACATAACTTCATATTTTCTGTGTTTGCTTTTTAATATACTGTTTGGAAGTTGTTTTTTTTGCTCTATCCCAAAAAAATATTATCCTTAAAGCAACAATGTCACATCTAGAGAAGTAAAACATCTGTCTTGTTCTAGTGGACAGCCTTTCCACTCTTTTCCTTCCATAAACTATTTTCGAAATCATAAGTTACAAAATTTCAAACCATCACAAGCTCCATCTAAAATTAAAAGGAATAATGTGCTTATTCAGTAAAAAAACAGCAACATGTAATCAGAATAAAAATTATTTGACTGTAACATTTCATTTAAATTTTGTGTATTTTTTTTCCTATAATTATGTCTTTTAGGAGTTCAGTACTAAGGCTTTGCTCCAGCTGGCTGGAACTTTGATCCTTCTAATAAGACAAAACTGGTTTATTTGGGATTCACATGGCTTCTTGGCACTCGGGAGTAAGTACAGCCTCCCTGACATCCTAATCTATCGTCGCAGTTTGAAAGTCTGGATTTTGACATTTAGATACAATCATGCTTTAAAGTTTGTGAACCCATTGCATAATTTGAGATTTTTGTTTTTTTTTTAACCACAGAATGTGTATTTAATCATAATTTGAATAAAGTATAATTATTAACCAATTTAATAATTATTAGTGTTTTGAAAGAAAATGTCCATGCAGAAAAATAATACACACAGTATACAGAAATAATAATTGACAGGGCTGGAGAGGTCCGGAAGTCTGTTATCTGGACAGATAAGTCCATAATTGAACTATTTGAGCACAACAAGAAGGTCCATGTTTGGCGAAGAGCCAACACGGCCTACCACCATCAAAACCTTATCCCTATTGTCAAGCATGGTGGTGGGAGTGTCCTTGTATGGGGCTGTTTTTCTTACTCTGGCTCTGGGCAACTTGACATCATTGAGGGAATCATGAATTCTGAGAAATATCAAGGAATTCTTGAGAAGAATGTCTGGCTTTCAGTTCGAAAACTCAAGCTGGGCACAAAGTGGATTTTTCAATAAGATAAAGATCCTAAACATTCAAGTAAGTCCACTAAAGAACGGCTTAGGAAGAAGAGGTTCCGTGTCCTGGAAAGGCCAAGCCAAACCCCTGACCTGAATCCTATTGAAATGCTGTGGCAGGACCTGAAGAGGGCTGTTCATGCAAGAGATCCTTCAAACTTCACAGAGCTGGCGGAGTTTTGTAAAGAGGAGTGGGAAAAAAAATCCCTCCAGCAAGATGTCAGAGACTGATAATTGGTTATAGGGGGCGACTGTGTGAAGTTATTGCTACTAAAGGAGGTGCCACAAGTTACTGACTGAACTTTACTTCACTTGAACTTTACATTTACTTTTGCACACAAGAATATCTGGTAATTTGTTAAATATCACAGTCTAATAATTTATGAGTTCAAATCCCTTTTTATGTGTGGGAAGTCTTTATTTAGGATATTCATTCTATATATTCATTAAGAGTTAAGGTTCATATAATATCTCTATAATATCTAAAATAATGACCAACTTGTGAAAAAGAAGCAAATAAAGTCATATAACTGAAAGATTTACTGATCAGATTCAGTGTTCTACTGCAAATTATAAATATTATACCACAATGTTAACAGAGCAACGTCGTATTATAATCATAATTAAAAGCCAAAATAAATAAAACACACTCCTAGAGAGTGCTATGAGGTTCTGGCACAATTAGAGGGGAAATGTCTTCCCATTCCACTAGTCAGGGTAAGAACATAAGTACGTAACAAATGAAATGAGATCATTCGGCCCATAGTGTCCGATAGTTTGATCCACCACTCTCAAACAGAAAGAAACCAGGGTACCAGCTTCAACATGGCTGGGCAGCTTGTTCTATACTCTCACAACCCTAGAAGTGTTTCCTGTTGACAGTTTTAAATACACTTAAATGCAGTTTCTGCTTGGACTCCCTGGTTCATGTTCCACTGCTCATTCCTAAGAAAACTGCTGGGTTAAAATTCAGACCCTTTGGCTTCCATTTGTGATATGCCTTCTTGAATTTGATGAAGAAGGCCTGGAGATACCAATGGCCAGCAGAGAATGTTTTGTGTAGTTTTAACCATTTCTTTACCAATCTGGAAATATGCTCTATAAGACTCAAACATTTGACATGAGATGTCCATTTTCAGCCAAGCCTGAGCTTCTTGGCAGAACAAACCCTTGGCAGACAATGTGTTTGTCCAAAAGGTCTTGGCACAGGTTCTTCAGATTTTTCAAAAGCCTGAGCAAATAAAGCCAATGTAATAGTCAATTCTATCACATTTACTGCAGTGTTCGTTCATTTTCGCCGTGTTCTAATCAGTTTTACCTGGGTTTCCTCCTACTTTCCACTAAAATGCTGTTCTTGTGTGTCTACCTTATGTACCCTACCTCTGACAGGCAGCTGATGCAGGAAGGACTATCTCCTTACACCCTGTGCTTCTAGAAAAGGCTCTGGACTGCTGTGAACCTTTCAAGGAACATCTTTCTTATAATGGATGGATGTGTAGACTACAAAGGTGAACTAAATTAATAGCAGTGGACTGGGTCAAACTATACTCAATTTGAAAAACCACAAAATATAAAGTGAAATTAAATATGCATGAATGCCAGACACTCCCTCTCAACAACAATGAAAGATGTACAAAGATTAGCGTCACTTGAAATTACCTGCATGATGAAGAGCTGTCTTCCCGGTACTGTCAAGAGCCTCTATCACACATTTGCTCTGTTTAAAGAAATGAAAAAACTGCCTTGATGAGGAAAGCCATCTCAATCTCAAATTAAATCAGCAGTTGCTTTTGCTGTATGTTTACACTCTTATCTACACTTTTGAATGTGCACAAAATTAACTCAATCAAACTGATCACTAACATCAAAAGGGTTTCTGCAGTCCCTCAAGAAAGAGAAGTCAGCTGTTGTAATTACTAAGCACCTGGCTGAAGGGGAGTTTTCAAAACTGCAAAAACATGGAAAGCCTCTACTAGACAAGTGAGTTATATTTACAGAACATAAGGGTTTCAAATGGCATTATGCCATTTGGCTCATCTAGCTCATTGGGTTTTAAGTAACTTATCGATTCAGGGATCTCATCCATTGGGATGACATTTGTTTAAGCCTGAGAATATATCTGGTCATTCTTTTAAGAGCATATTGAAGGTTACAAATGAGGGGAGCCCATTTGTTAGTTAGAAGCTAATTGATCCATGGATCTCATCCATTTGGTTTTTTAAAGAAGCCAAGGTTTCAGCTTTGACAACATGGTAAAGTCGCTCACTCAATCCTCCGCAATTCTTTGAGTAAAGGCACGCTTGCCTTCTCTTTTGGATACCTGAATCGGATTTCTTCATAGTCTTCTTTGTTGAAGACTAAAAAGGGCCAGGACTGTACAGACACCCAGCTGAACTGGGATCAGTCTTAGGTTCATGAGAAGATACCAGATTATGCTAAGCAAATCCGGATGTAATACAAAATGGTCATATAAAACTAAATTTGTGGAAGATGTTTTCTTTTTTACTTAATGTGAAATTATTATGATGGAGACACAATCATACATGCATGGACAAGCTACATCACATTATGCAAATGCAAAAAGATGTGCTAACCTTTGACTGTGACTGCGAAATAACATGCAAATGGTAGAGAATGATGCAAAATGACAACTTCAAGCAGAACTGCTTCCCTCACTCTGTGCATAATAAAGTACCTCGAAATATCAAATGGAGAACAAAGATAATACGATGGAACAGTGACATGCTTAAGGTTTAATTTTCAATTCCTTCAGATCCCACAAAACCTCATATATGTGGTTTGACAAAACATTTCCTGGCTCTACCTTCCAGCTCCAGGCAGTTAACAGAGGACTGATTACCTGAATCAGTTTTAGGGCACATTCCTGGTGGTTGTTTTTGGCTGCAAGGTGTAAAGGACTTGAACCTAAAAAAATGAAAAAAAATTACAAGTCATTTATAAAGCCCAAACCAAAATCACAAATACCACATTTATGATTACAGTATAATGCTATCAAGTATACATTTAGATATTATCTTTACAGACACTCTAAACATGCCTTTACTTGATGAAGTGAAACTTGTATTAACAGCGAGTTTTTTCACTCTACGTTTTCATGCTAGGCAACACTGTTAGTCACACAGTTATCGTCTTAGCGTTCTATTACAAAAATCTAAACATTTAGAAAGAAGAAAACACATAGAGGCAGATTTCATGAAACGGCTTCCAGTGTATATTAAAAATATTTAAAAAAATGTTTGACATGGGAAAAATACAGCCCCTGCTAGAAGTAATAGATGCATGTAATGCTTCAGGTAACAGACAACGAACGGTCAGGAAGAGCTGAGACACACCTGAAGCGTCCAGGACTGAGGCATCAGCTCCATGTGCAAGAATCGCCCCAAGACATTCCACCTGCCCCTTAGCTGCTGCCCAATGCAGGCTAAAAAAAAGGGCTACATTTACCTCAATACACTCAGAATTCATTTAAATAAAATCAATTAAATGAAAAGTACAATACATGTTGCAACTAATTATATTATTAAATAACATTTGAAACTTTGAAAAAACGGATTAGAAATTTCTCAATTCCAAAGCTAAAAGATCCATAGACATGGACAGTCACAAACAAGTTTCACAAACAGTGTAATAAATAAATCCCCCCAAATATATACATATAAGGGGTTATCCAAAACCCCATTTTCTCAGCTGAAAGAATAATAAGCAGATTTTTTTCTTCAGATCTCCTTTTTCAGTTCATTAACAATCTACAAATATCACTGACCCTCCCAAATCCCAGGATATACGTCCATGATCAGAAAGCTGCCTATTCTTGTTGAGGGTCCCAGCAATTCAAATCCTATCCCGAAAGCATAGGACAAGTCCACTGCCAGGGACAGTTTTGGGATACCAACTAACTTGGCTAGCATGTCCTTCAATAGTAGGATGATATTGGAGCACATGCAAAAAACCCATGTGCACTCAGTGAGATCATGAACAGTCTGGAACTGAACCCAAAACCTAAGAACTATGAGGCAGCTTCACTAACAACGATGCCAACCCCCAGGATATAAAATTAAATTTTATAGAATAGATTTATATAAAATTAAATCAAAACAAAGCTCATATACAACTCAGTCTCTTAAAAATTACACACTCATTAAAAACAGATTTTTATATCTGCCCTGTGCACATCACAAGGGATTCACAAGAAACAAAGGCCAGATTTACAGATGTTTTAAAGGTGTCTAGGTATAAACACAAATTAGAGCAGAAGGGATAGCCACATATACAGGGTGAGCTTCCCCTGGTAACAGTATTTTTCTCTTAGCATCTGCTCTATATGGCATAAAGCTGAGTGTGATCCAACGAAACATTGTCTGATGCTAGCAATATCTGTATCTTAATTTTGCAATTTTGAGTTAGAGTTTGAAAAGTATACAAGTGGATTAAAAAATACAGTTAGGAGACTAGACTGATACAGCACAGGATCTTTGTCATAACCAAAAAAACATGACTCTTGTATTGCACAGTATGTACTTTATCAGAATGAATGGAAATTCAGCAGGTCACAACACATCAAACAAGCTACACTCATGGTTTCACTTTCCAAATTAAGGAATAATGACTCAGCTCCGAATTTACAATTTTAGGCTGGAACATGCTCTTCAGGTAGGCATAATTAAACCCTAACCCTGGGTCTGAGAAGTGCAATAACAAAAGAGTGTAGAGGATTTCTTACCTTTAACAAGAGACAATGGTTATGGAAAAAGGCATTTTTTCCACACTTCAACTTACTCTATATTTGTATTCACAGGCAGTGTAAGTGAACAAAAAGGCTGTGCCATGTGGTTATGTTAATCCCTTTTAATGAGATGTAACCCCACTTTTCCAAAGGGGTGGATTTGCTGTATGTTTTCCAATGTGTCCAACTGTACATTTATCAGCAACTCTTGCAATATTGTTTGTAATTGCAATTTGCTTTCAATATTCAGTGGTGGAAACTGACTAACTTTTATACTTCTAGCCAAAGTTTCATGTCTATGGCCATCTTAGACATCGTCTCATTAATGCAATCACAAGGCCCAGCGTGTTTTGGCTCAGCACTCTCAAAGAGCAATATGATCTTTTGCAGAGAGCAGGGAGCTATGTCAGCGTAAAAGCTGCAAAGGGAGCCAGCAGAGGTGAATTTCATGCGAAAAGCAGAAAATGAAAAGAAAAGGCAATGTTCCAGCTGTAAAGCTTCCTTGAGGTATATCATTATTGCATTGTTTTACTGTCCACTTGTTATAAATGCAAATTTCTTGGAGATCTTCATCATAAAAATGGCCATTTCTATTTTAACACAAATGCAAAGAGTCTGTTTTACTCCAAGACCATTTGTTTACCTCAGAATTAAGGGATACTAAGCGTGCAAAGAAGTCACTCTGTATATAATCCATAAATCTGATTACCTGCTGGACATAAAGCAATTACAATAGAACATAACTAATAAATGCTTATACACATTTCAGGTTCAGAGAGACCACAACTTTATTTGGTCATGTTTATAATAATGACAGTGTGCTAAGCTAATGTCTGTGTTTTTTTTATTTAAAACTACTGTAATACTGTTAAGTGCCACAAATATCGAAGGATGCCAATTTAAGGAGTATGAATTTATGTTTTTTTCCTGTTTTTCTTTTTATCAAACAAGTATGTAAAATGTATCAATGCAGGAAACACTTTAGAAATGTGATCATTAGGGTCCTCATCATTTAATGATCAAAATATTACCTTCAGAGCCTTGCTTATTTACTTCGGGCAGGCCACTTCATATTGTAAAAAATTGATTAATTTCATTTAATAATGAGCTCCTCAAAATCAATAAGCTGCACAGTGAAAAGGGAATTCGTCACAAACCAATCATCACAAAATCATGCTTTTTATTTTCTTCAGTGCCAGTTCATTCTGTTCTGTTCAGACAAATCCCTTAAAAAAGATCCAGCAGGCAGGTTTGATTTCTTTTCACACAGCAACATCCTGTATCCTGTTTGAACAGGAGTGAAGAAAAGACACAGCAGCTTCTGTATGGTAACAAAAGAACTTTGCCATGATATCAAGGTGTGCTATTTTTTCTCTTCTTTTATATTAAAGTTCATGTGATTGAATAATATAAAGAACTCTTCATGCTTCCAGGGGATGAAGAAACCTATAATCTTCACCACAAAGGAGGCAAAGAACATTTGTTGCTCATATGATCATTCTACTTTGAGTAACAATTTCATGCTCTTTAAAAAAATAAAACTTTACACTGAAGGGTGAAAATGTGGGAAATCACTTAACCTAAGAAATACATTTATTCTGTCATGCCAATATTACCATTAATAACTATAGAATATCTTAATTATTCAAGTTAAATAAAAAAATTAAATTAATATATGCACAGTAACTTTCTTTAGATTAGTGTAAAAGCTCTGGAGTGTAATATTTCCCAAAGCTAAGGAGATTCAAGTGTATCCTAACATGATGTGCTGTATAAAGTGACATTCTGTAGACGTCCTGCCTGTTTGTACAGTTTTCCTAAGGAGAACAACTGGGGCTGACATCACAATTAAGAGAAAACCTTCTCATCAATATTTGTAAAGCAGTTTCAAAGACAGCTATCTACTCAGGAGCTAAAGGATATAGATCTCTGGATTCTGTCCTCAGAAATATGAAGATCTATGAGACTGTATACACAAGTCAACAATACATAGTTCTCATTTTATTCGCTTGCAGCTTATAGAAAAGGACAAATTATCCATATGTGCAATATGTTATAATTTCAGAAGGTATTTCCTTGCCCTATAGCAACTTAATGCTTTTGTGGTTTTAATTGAATTTGCAGCAGAAAGTTGTCAGCATCTGCTTGAGTACATTTGAAATTGACTTCTGTGTACAAAATGGAAATACTATACAGACAGTTTTACATTTCTTACTGGCAAATATCTG